TAACGGGTCTAGGTGTTTCATAACAGAGACGAAGGCAGCATATATTTTCTCAGCAAGTTCATTGCCGAAGATATTCCTGCCGTCCGAGACGATAGACAGAGATACTTGCTTTTTAGGGTAGCCTGCTAATTGTTTAACAGTGTCCCACCATTTCTTATTATTGTTCTTAGATTTCAACTCATTTAACTTGAGAAAGTATTGAGGAAGGTAGATTTTAATCTTTTACACTCGCTAATACATTGATTTCGGAGTTTGCAATAGAGTGCACGATTACTTTAACGGAAAGCGTCTTTGCCACTTGCAATAAGATTTTGTAGTTGGGGGTTATCCAAGGTCTATCGCTGGTATGCAACTGACAGACTTATTTGGTAGAAAATAGTCTAGTCCGGATTCAATGGCATTATGGACATAATTAATTCGCATGATACAGTTTGATACAAACCCAACCAATTAACTTTCGTTAGCCATTCACTAAAAGCACGTTTGCACTCACGTTGCCTTGCCGAGTAATTACTTTATTATGCTTGTTCTGTCTGTTAATCTTTTGGATGGAAAATATTACAGAGTTATGGTCGCTATATACGACCAAGTGCATGGTGTAATAATACTGACTGGGGAACACACATCACTCATATTTGTTAAGATAACATTGAGCCCCCCCCCGATTGAGCGCCGCCCCCTATTGAGGGCCGCCCGCGTATGAGCGCCTCATGATATGACATCTTTATTTTCCACACGAAGTCCATTCACAATTACAAATATATGCTCTTCCATAGAGACGTGCATTTAACTAATATAAAATATATAAAATAATATAGGAAAAAACTAAACCACTTATAAAAATATGTACATGCAATATATGAATTTACGAGAAGAGAGACATAAACTCATGCACTCAGAGACTGTGCACTGGATATTTGGACGGGAATGTTGTTCCACAAAATTGCACCTCTATAACTAAAATTTTTCTTAAGAGATTCTTACAGGGGCCTCGGAACAAAAAAATTATGATTTGCCCCACGTAAGTTATGTTCGTGCACTGAAGACGTGCTGATGAATTTATTGGTTAAATAACTAGGAACCATATTATTGGCCGTCTTATACATTAATTTCTTAAACTGTAGGGCACGTCTATCTTCTAGATTAGTCAGTTCAATGATCTTAAAATTTCAGATGAGCGAGTGTAATAATCAGAACCAGTAATGTTTCGTGCAGCCCTGTTTTGCATTCGTTGGAGCTCCTGCCCTAGATCCTTAGCCAGGTTATCCCAAATAACACTACAATAGTGAAAATGTGACCGAATTAAAGAATTATAGATTAGCACAAGGGCTGAAAGTGGGAGCAACGGTTTTAGTCTCCTCAAAACTTCGATCACCTTGGAGACTTTAGAAACAATCGCAGAGACATGAAACTCCCACATTAAACCCTCGTCCAATTCTAAGCCTAAACATTGATATGATTTGACTCTTTTGATTTCATTTCCTGAGATAGAAATATCAAGTTGTTCAGGAATATTACTTAACCTTTGTCGAGAAGCAACAAACATATATTTTGTTTTCATTACATTAAGGCTAAGCTTATTCATGTTGAGAAAGTTTTGTAGAATTTCTAAATCATCGTTTAAAACAGAAATAATCTTATTGAGGTCATCATCAGCATATGTTAGATTGGTATCATCGGCGAATAAAAGCCAATTTGATACCAACTGACATTTAGGTAGGTCATTGATAATAAAGTAAGAAAAGCAGCGGGCCCAGAATAGATCCCTGTTCAACGCCACATGTTATCTTACAGCTACCCGACGATACATTATTGATAACAGTGATTTGTGTGCGTTTCAGATGCGACGCTCATGCGGGGGCGGCGCTCAATCGGGTGCGGTGCTTTTTGGGCCTGTTTTATACATGGAGGTATAGAGTGACCCTATTAGCAGGTTTACCCCAACCTCGTTCCCAGGCTCTTTCCTCTTGCGGAGCAAAGACCCTAGTGGACGCTGGTCACGTGACCCATAGAAAATTGTAGCCCAAGGGGGGGGGGGGGAAGTCTCAAAATACATGTTTCCACTTCCGAATTTCACACTTCGATTGCAAGGAATGGCCTTTCTGTACAATCATCTTTGAGAATCATATATACTTCAAAATACTTGCTAAATTGGTTTCTGTTTGCTTTTGAATTATGCAAACATGCTAAAATGCAGATTCTTATAGCAACAGACATGTCAGGAAATCAAGCAACGAAAACGTATGGCCGTATGCTTTGAATTTGGTATAAGTGTCCCTACGTTTCATCAGGGATATATAGTATACAAATACAAACATATATATTCATAAACTGTATTCCGCACAAAGTCGATGGTTAATGTCTAATGAGTTTTATTAAGCCTTTTAAAGTTTCCATTGATAGATAGGTTGTTTGCCTCCAGTATCGTTTGGTAAAACATCTAAAATCTCGATTACAGTAAACGATAAAGATTAAAGTTGATTTAAATATTGATGACTCACAACGGCATTATAGTTATACAAGTCGAAATAAGCTGGATTATTCTTCAAATAATGGGCATTGCAAGGCCAATGAATGGTCTTTATAAGAGTTATGATGTACCTGCTGCTAATTACTGTAGTACATGAAATACAAAATAATTTACTATAAAGTACAATACCAGTATCTGGTGCATATATCGCCTTAGATATTCAAGTTCTACCGCACGCACGGAAGAGTCTTGGTGTTCGTTTGATATAAACAGATAGCTATACTTCGACATAATCTTTCTTCATCGTTGAGTTTCAGCAATGTAAATGAAAGGAATTTTACAGTCCATAACGGGTTTTAATCCTGTGCTGTCACAGTAAAAATAGCACTGCTGTTTAAGCCTGTTTTCCACTAGCTAATTTGTTCGCGCGCATCTTTTGTATTATGAGCTCTCGGCTGGAACTAATTAGATTTTTAATTAATCAATTCTTTTCAAATTAAACAATAGAAAATTCGCTTCGCGCGAAGAAATTCGCTAGTGGAAAACAGGCTTTACACACAGTTGGCGATGTTTGGGAAATCAAATGATCCCATTATAAAATAGATTCTTTGTTTTGAATATCGGACAGGATACACTTCAATTATAAACAACGTTTACACTGTACCGTTTTCGTAGCGTTCTCGTATTGTTCGAGAGAACTAGACTATTGTCTTGCGTTCCCTTGAGGATTAAGAACAATACGAGAACGCTACGAAAACGGTACAGTGTAAACGCTGCCTGTGTAGTTGACATGCACAACTCAACGAAAGCGAACGAATATTCAGTTATGTTAATAATGTACATTCAGTCGCCACCGACCTGTATGAACGGTGATCGCTAGATAGTATACTTAAAAACAAGGTTTCCGTTTTTATAACGTAGAAAAAACTATCCTAACGCAAAACTAAGCCCTAATACTAACCCTAACCCTAACCTAACCCTAACCCTAACCCTAACCTAACCTAACCTAACCTAACCCTAACTTATTTTAATTATTTTAAAAATTGATATAAAAACGGAAACCTTATTTTGAAGTATACTATATATCTAGCAATTCCCCTGTATGAACATGGCTTTGTGATTGGTGGATCCAATAACAATAAAAGACAATAAAGTATAGAATCACATTTGTAAAGAACACTGAAAACTCATAAACACTGATCACTATTTTTTCATGAAGCCAATCACAAAACACGATCATTTTAGGTTGGTATTTACTCTCTTTATGCAAATGCGTATCTAATGTTAAGAATTTCTATCACTGCACATTTTTGTGCAAAGTTTAGCCCAGCAGATGCACGCCCTGAACATTTCTGAACACACTCTTATAGTAATGTGTAACAAAACAGGCTACATTTGATATTCAAAAATGCCAAAATGGGCCCAGGACAAACTTTGACTTGGTGGCTCTCGTGATTCCATGTTCTAACACTATGATTAGGGGGTCCGGGGGCATCCCCCGGACAAAATATTGAAATCTGAGGTCCCAGAAATGGCCAAATCCTGCATGCTGGAAGCAGGATTTTTCAGGATTTTCCCGGGGGGGGGGGATTTTTGAAAAGGGACCTTTCTGTGAGATAATATAGTAGACGTCCCGGGATACCAATGGCTGAAGGCCACACGTGTGGCCAACATACCACGCATGAATGGGGGAGGGTCTGGGGTGTACTCCCACAGAAAAATTTTGAAATTTGAAGCACGGAAATTGCCATTTTCTGCATTCTGAGCATCCAAATTTGCTCTAAAATTTATGCCAACTATACTTGTATTTGAAATAATAGAAGGAAAATACGCACAAAAGTTAAGACCCGACATAAGCAGCGAGCTTTTGTCTATCGATGGATATAATTTGCATCGAGCGGACAGACGTGTGGGTCGTGGTGGCGGGGTATGTGTTTTCACTTCTATTGATACCCCGTGCAAACGTCGTGTTGATTTAGAAAGTCCTGATTTCGAATGTCTATGGCTATGGCTTCGCCCCTATCGATTGCCTAGACCACTTTCTGGCATTGCTCTTTGTGCCGTCTACAACGCTCCTGGCAAACCTATCGAAGAGCAAAATAACTTGTGTGATCACATAGTCAAGACATCAGACTTTGTACGTAACCAATATCCTGACTGCGCGCTTATTATTCTCGGTGACTCGAACCTCGACTTGATTCAGGTTGTAGATAGCCCAAACCGAGGAGTTAATACCTTAGATCTAATCATTTGTAACACCTGCAATTTCTACGAGAATCCTGCCATACTTTCCCCCCTAGGCACATCGGATCACAACATCATACATTGGACCCCTAAAGCTAGATATCTGAATATCGACACTGGGTCTTTACCCAAACGCTATTCCCGTCGTTTTCTACGGTCAAGGCTTGACGCTTTTGGACGGTGGATCTGTAGCGTTAATTGGTTTGCTGATGTTGTCCAGCTTTCAGCCGATAATCTAACCGATTCTCTGACATCTACCCTTACTACCGCTATTGACATTTTCTTCCCCCTAAAGTCCACCAAGTTACACACAACCGATAAACCATGGATCTCACACGCCATCAAGTCTTTAATCCAGAAACGACAGAACGCATTCAATAATAATGACCCAGTCCGATGGAGGCACTATAAAAATAAAGTTAAGAAAGAAATTTCCAAACGCAAGAAAGCATTTTACGAAGATAAGGTTAAGCACCTTAAGAATGAAGATTGTAAGAAATGGTGGAGATTTGTGAATAACTTATCAGGAAGACGAAATAAGTCGCAACCTTTCACAATCGAGAAGGACGGGTTAGCTTTAACCGACTTCGAGCTTGCTGAACATTTAAACACGTTTTTTCTATCTGTTAACGAAGACATCTCCCCTTTGGACATAAACAGTATACCTGCTTTCCTCCCAGCGGAAGAACCCCTTCCAAAGATTTCTGAGATTGAAGTCTACAGCAAATTGGCCAAGATTAATCCCTACAAAGCAAGTGGCCCTGATCACATCCCCGCACGTATTCTAAAGGAATTTTCTTTCGAGCTCTCGAAACCAGTTGGAAAAAGTCTGAGATAATACCTATAACAAAAGTTCAGCCTGTTTCTGATGAAGGTGACCTTAGACCTATATCCTTGACTCTCTGTCTCTCCAAAGTATTGGAGGACTTTGTGGTAAATTGGATCATTTCGGACTTAGGTCATAAAATCGACCCCCAGCAATTTAGCTGTTTAAAAGGCACTTCCACTACTTATTGCCTTCTCGATATCCTTCATAACTGGCTAAATCACCTCGATGACCCTGGAAAATACATCCGCGTTTGCTTCCTTGACTTTTGTAAAGCATTCGATCGGATCGACCACAACATTGTCATTTCGAAACTTATCAACCTCGGCGTACGAAGAGCCTTGATCCCGTGGATCTGTAGCTTTTTGTCTGGTCGGATGCAGTCTGTAAAAGTTAACCAATTTACCTCTAACTGGGCTCCTGTTACTGCCGGTGTCCCGCAGGGTACCAAGCTTGGCCCTATCCTATTCCTCGTAATGATCAACGACCTTG